CAGGAATGCACAGGAACGGAGTTCCGGCAGGAACTCATTAGCATAATAGGCCACACCCAACAGCAGAAACTCATTAGGATTGGCTACATTAGGGGTGTGTGGCCTAACATGCAAAGGAGTTCCTGCTACCAAAAAAGGCCCTGGGTTTTGACAACAAACCAGGTCAACAGAATAAGAAGCAAAAGGTGGGTGTGGCTGGATGACCACACTTCTGGTAACATGCGGGTGTGGCCTAATATGCTAATGAGCTGTGCAGTCAGGGGGTGTGGCCTAATATGCTAATGGGTTTATGCTTCTGGGTGTGGCCTATTATGCTAATTAGTTCCTGCTGGGCTTTTTCTACAAAGAAAGCCCTGGTGTGACCCATTTCTAAACTGGAAAGTCGCAACCCCTTGCAGACAGGACACAGACAGACACAGAGCTAAGCCCCTCCTGTACTTCCCGTAGGAGGTCTATCTGATGAGGGGACCTTTGACTCTTGAAAGCTCATATTCTGAACATGGCCTCTGGACGCCAACCTGGCCCTGCTGGCTCCAGGGAAACTCCGAAGGGGTGTTGGGCAGTGTTCCCTCTAAGCTGAGTTAGTGTGAGCTAGCTCACAGTTTTTTAGCCTCTGGCTCACACATTTTTTTCTTTGCTCAGGAGGGATGGCTCTAGAGCAAACTCATGTATGCAGCAGCCAAATGGCTCGCTCACAACTTAAATGCCAGTAGCTCACAAAAAAGAATTTTTGCTCACAAAACTGCACAGCTTAGAGGGAACATTGGTGTTGGGATACCACTGGGCCTCCCCTCCGTACCTTGAATCTGGGGGTATTTCATCAAGAGCAGGAAGCCGTTTCTCAGGGTGGAGCTGACTGTCTCCGTCCCGCCAAAGAACAGGGTGAGGGTGGTGAGCTCCATATTCTCAACGTTGAATTCGCTGGCAGGGTTGTTTTTTTCCTGAAGGCAAGCAGGGGCAGGAAGAAAAGATGGTTAGGACATTTGCTGGCCAGCTTTCTTTTTGCCAGATCGTGGTGGGGGTGGAAGAGGGAGTTGCGTCTTGAGGGTAAACAGGAGGCAAGGTAACGGGATCACTCCCTGCGGAGCCGGATTCCCTTTCACACGGCCTCAGAACCCGTCTCCTCCGAGAAGCGGCTCAGCACCTGCACAGACCGGGTTGTTCTTTCCCGTTTCCTCCTTCTTCAGGGAGAGGGGGACATGGGGGAGGGTAAGATGCGTCCGCTCAACCTGGGGGCCTCTGATCCCTCCAGATGTGCAGAGCCCCATGCCATCTTTCAACCTGTCTCCTTTGTGCTAATTTGGTGGTCCACGCAGGGGCCAGGGCTTGGCCACGAGATAAAGTGGGGCTGTTGGGCCAACGTATCTTGGCCGGGGGCATCTGCAGGATCCTGGGATTCACAGAACTCAGACAAAACGGGAGGAAAGGGGAGGGGCCGTGGCTCAGTGGAAGTGCTCCTGCTTGGCATGCAGAAGGTCCCAGGTTCAATCCCCAGCAGCATCTCCTATTAAAAAGGACCAGGCAGTTCGTGATGGGAAAGACCTCCGTCCGAGACCCTGGAGAGCTATAAAGGGGGGCCTTGGCTCAGGGGCAGAGCCTCTACTTGGTGTGCAGAAGGTCCCAGGTTCAATCCCCGGCAGCAGCTCCAGTTAAAAAAGGACCAGGCAGGAGGTGATGGGAAAGACCTCCGCCTGAGACCCTGGAGAGCTGTAAAGAGGGGCCTTGGCTCAGGGGCAGAGCCTCTACTTGGTGTGCAGAAGGTCCCAGGTTCAATCCCCGGCATCTCCAGTTAAAAAGGACCAGGCAGGAGGTGATGGGAAAGACCTCCACCTGAGACCCTGGAGAGCCGCTGTCAGCCTGAGTGTACAATACAGACCTTGATGGACCAACCATTAGGCTTCATGTGTATCATGCAGGGTTGCCAGTTCCCAGTTGGGAAATACCTGGAGACTTGGAGGGTGGAGCCTGAGAAAGGCGGGGTTTGGGGAGGGGAGGGGTTTCCGTGGGGTGTAAATGCCGCAGAGTTCACCTCCCAAAGAGGCCACTTTCTCCAGCGGAGCTGATCTCTGTTGCCTGGAGACCAGTTGTAATCCCAGGAGAGCTCCAGCCACCACCTGGAGATTGGCCCGTGGGGTGTAAATGCCACAGAGTTCACCTCCCAAAGAGGCCACTTTCTCCAGCGGAGCTGATCTCTGTTGCCTGGAGACCAGTTGTAATCCCAGGAGAGCTCCAGCCACCACCTGGAGATTGGCAACCCTACTGGTGTGTGTGTGTGTGTGTGTACACAGAGCAAGCTGGGTTACCAGTGACCCATTTAAAATGTTTGCTTTCCTGATCACATCTAGTTTGCAGAAGGGATTTGCAGTCGATGAAGTCCCGCGGGGAGTTGAGGTCTAAAGTTTCCCGGTTCTTCTCTGCTCTCTTGGCAATGAAGTGCCTTAGGTTTCCCAGCATGTCGTAGATCTTGGTGTGGGGGCCGGGGAAGAACTTCAGGATGTTGGCATAGATGTCGTAGACCTGCAGGAGCAGAGAGAGAGGGTGAGGAGCAGGTGAGGTGCAATTCATATCAGGGTTGGAAGGGACCACCAGGGTCATCTAGTCCAACCCCCCCACCGCCAATGCAACTACAACTATACAATTTTAATATCCCCAACAAGTAGGTGTCCAGTTCCTGCTGGGGGGGGGGGCAGGAGCAGAGAGAGAGGGTGAGGAGCAGGTGAGGTGCAATTCATATCAGGGTTGGAAGGGACCACCAGGGTCATCTAGTCCAACCCCCCCCCACCGCCAATGCAACTACAACTATACAATTTTAATATCCCCAACAATCCAGAGCAAACTAATTTATGCAGTAGCAGGGGTCATTTCGTAGAAAAAGAGGTTCAGGAGTTTATTAGCATAACTTATTAGCATAACTTATTTGCATATGCCTCACCCCTTGACGTCACCGGAAGTGTGTCAGAAGGCAACACCCACCGCTCAGGCTCCACTGAACTCTTTTGGATTGCTAGCTATGGGGGTGGGGAGGAACGTGCAGATCTGCCCTAACAGAGGAGGGAGAGCTTGTACCTAAA